TTATGTTAACCTTTGACACTCATGATTTTTCTGATTTTCTTAATATAAATATTTGGTTTTAAATAATCAAAGTGATTCCTTTAATTTTATTGACTTAATCAAAGGGATTGTATCCTCTTTCTTATTTAATAAGACTCACTACTTCACTAATAATCTTTAATTAACAAATGGTCTTCTTTTCTCTACTTATCATTATGCATTTTCTAAAATAAAAAGCCTTTAGATTAATCGATATACTGCTATCAAACAATTTAAAAGCTTTAATAACATCTCACTTAATGATCAAAAATCACACTTTATCAATACTAGCTTCCTCTTATCAAACCTACATTTATTCACTATTCCATCTTATTTTCTCTTCTCTTTTAAGTTTAGTACAAACTGGTTAAATTTTTGGATCAGTAGCAACCACCCCTCCTAGTGTACTGAAAGGATCAGATCAAACTCAGATCATTTGACCTGACTTGTATTTAAAATCTGAATTAAGTTTATCATTATTTAATACGAGTCCTATATTTAATTCAACCTGTCAGGTTACGGTCATATCTTTGCTTAACCCAGGTTGATCCTAGGTTAACCTAAGTTTAATCAAATATTTTGATGATTTTGGATATAAAATGTTTATATTATGTGATTTTTAATTTTTAATTTTATTTGTAATTTGTGTAAAAATAAGCGAGACTGAGAAAATAACTCTTGGAAAGCATTCTTCTCTAAGAAGTAAACTTTTTATTAGAGAACTTTTTAAAGAAAAAGAACTTCTACAAAAATGCAAAAATACATTAAATAATTAAGTACTTAAACTGCCCGTAAGTATTTTAGAAAAAAAGTAAAAATTTTCTTAAATATTCATAAGTATTTTTATAAAAAAATTAAATATAAATCCAATCTCTTAAAATTTTAGGGATAAAATATAGTTTCACAAAATTGGTGATTCTAATATAACAAATCTTTAACATTATTTAGAACATAATCATCTAGAGAAAAATCTAAAAAAAGCAAAAAATTTAATAGTTGAAACCCAAAGCATATTGAATAAATTTGTAAATTATACAACAATTCCATCTAAGATATATTAATAAATAATACATAAAATAGAAAGATATAAATATTAAAAATAATTTTTTTTTAAGTTTACACAAAAAGGTTTTTGCAAGTTTATTACTAAATAGGTGATTGATGATGATCAACCATTTATAATATTAGAAAATAAATATTTTTAAAAGATGATAAAAATATTAAATTTAGATGCATTAGTCCCATCAATAGATACAATAAAAAATGATATATTAGAAAGTTTTAAATAGAACAAAAAAAAATGAATAAATTGTTTTAAGTAATTTAAATATATGTATAAATTTTTTTTTTATTTTATTAAACAAATTATCTATTTAATAGAGTACATCTGAGAGAATTTCTTTTGCAATTAATTCATGAACATTAATGAATGGTTATTCCTTTTTAGCTATAACAATACACTGGATTATTAAAGATTGGGATTTCAGGATAAATTGTTAAATTTTATAGATCTTTTTGGTCTCTCATTTAGGTGAAAATCTCTGTAATGCTTTCGTAAAAAATTGTCATAAGTTTAGAATTTTAGAAAAGGTAAATAAATATTTTTTTATTTTTTTTTTAATTTTTTATTTTATTTTTATTTTATTTTTATTTTTCTTTAATTTTTTTAATTGTTTTATTTTTATATTTATACAAACTTGAAATATAACTAATAAAATCATTGTAATTTTAACAGATTTTGCAGTTACTAGTGATAATGCTTCAAATAATATTACCTTTATGGAATGTTTAGAAAATACTAGTCAAATAGAAAATATTTTCTTTGATGCTATTAATTCCTATTATTAATGCCTTACTCATATAATAAATTTAGTTATACAAGAAATCTTAGAACAAGTTAAAGCTGGTGAAGTACAAATTGAAAATGATATTATAAAGAATATGAATTTAACTATAAATGCTAGAGAAATAATTCCTATAGTAGGTTAATTTTTCATATTTCTTTAAATTTTAAATTATTATAATACTAATTTTATATCATAATTAGTTTTATAAGCTTATAGTAAAAATAAAATCATCAACACAATGCGTTTACACATCATGCTGAAGCTGCCAATCTTAAAGAGCTTAACCTTATCTTAAATGTTAAAACGTGATAAAACTCTATATTTGATATGCTTAATTGTGCATTTGTGATGCAAAAGGTTAGAATATTTATTATATTATATACATTTGCTTTTTTATTATATTAATATAATAATATTTTTTTATATTATAGGTAATAAATGCAATAGCAAATTCAGATAAAGATCTTAGAAATTTTGAAATTACTAATAATAAATGGGATAAAATAAAAGAGATTATTTCTGTTTTGAAAATAAGAAAGTTAACAAATAAAAATAAATATTTTAATAAATTTAATCCTTATAATTAATTTAAAAAATTTTATTTTATATTAAATAGATATTTGTACAAACTACTAAAATACTTTCATATGCAAAATATCTTATGCTTTCTTCTTCTATACCAATATATAATTATTTAATGAATAGACTTAAAGCATATTATGAAAATTTAGATATTTCTAATGATATAGTAATTGCTATTAAAGCAGGATTAAAGAAACTTGAATTATATTATAACAAAATCTGATGAAACTACTATGTATATAATTACTACTGATAAGAAATATAAAATAGTAAAATTTTTTTACAAACTGAATAATAATATAGATAATTTTATAGTATTTAATCTACAATTTAAGTTGGATTACTATAAAGGTAATAAGTAGAAACAAAATTTTATTCAATATGCAAAAGAAACAGTTCTTAATGTTTATAATACTAATTATATACCTGGTAATACTAATGTAAAAATTGCTGATAATAATGATTATAATGAATTCTTAGATCACATTTTTGGTAAAAAGAATAATCATTAACAAAATGAAGTAGAAATGTATTTAAAAAATCCTCAAGCAGATTGAAATCAAGATGTTTTATTATGATAGAAGATATATATTTAAAAATAATTAATATATTTTTTTTTGATTTAATTTTACTAATTCATTAATAAACATATATAGTTAAATGAAGTAGAGTATTCACACCTAACAGCAATAGTAAGAGATTATTTTGCAATTGCAAGTAAAAAAATTTATTCATTTTAACATTACTAAATATTAGTTAATAAATGATTTTTAATTTAGCTACAAGTATTTCAGTAAAACAGATCTTTTCTAGTGGAACTGATTTAATAATAGTAAAAAGAAGTAATCTCAAAAAAATACAATTTGTACCTGTATGTGTTTGAAGTTATGATGGGAGTAAAGAGGATTTAATTAGAATATTTTATAATTTATCATAAAAATTTAAATAAAACTTAATTAGAATCTTTTTTTGTAAAAGTTGTACAATATACATATACTATTGTCTTACTAATCACAAATAAATTTGTTAAAAATTTTATTTGATTTAGGTTAATTGAGGTTCAAACTATAATGGGTCAGATCAGGATTAGGTTTTATAAATATTAATTCAGGTATTTATTCAGGTTGATTTTTATAAACGGGTTGAGTCTGAGTACATTCTCAAACTCAATCTGATTCGACCCTTTTAGAATACTAATACCTCTTGTACTGGATGGTTAAACTTATTTTAATTTAATTTAGATAGGTTAGTCTAAAATAATATAAAGTTGATTTTGATTTAGTTTTATTGCTAGATAGAAATTTTTGTATTTTCTCTTTTGTAATTTGTAATCTTGTAAATTTTTACTTTATTCTTAATAAAGATTATACAAAACTACTACACATAAAAAAAAAATTATTTATAATAAATTAATTATATTAATCAAAATTTAATTAAGTATAATAATAATAATATAAATTAATTTAAAGTATTTAGATTTTATATATTTATATAATTTCTATATTTATTTATTTTTTTTTTTATATTTAAAATACATATATATTTAAAAAAATTTTTTTATATTTTATCTATTTTATATAATATAATTAAACTATAATTTTATTGATTAAATTATTTATATATTATATTTTTTTATTAAATTTTTTTAAAAAAAAATTTATAAAATTGTTTTACTTTCTAAACAATTATTAAAAATTCAAATGTAAGAACATTTTAGTTAAAATATAAATAAGAGATAAACTTCTTAATAATAATCAAAATTTAGATAAAATTTATTAAATTATAATATAAGATATAACAAAACTCTTCTAGTATAATAAAAATTTAAATTGATAAATATGTATTAAAAATATAATAAAGAATATAAATAAATTATTTTGAAAAGATTTTAGTAGATATCTATAGTTAAATAAAATATAATATAAATATTTATAATTATATTATTAATATAATTATAAATCAATTACTGATATTTATATTTTTTTAAAAAAAGATAATTATAAAATAGTAATTATTTATCATATTATATCATAATTTTATTTGATTAAATATTTAAAAGTTTTAATTTTTAATTAATTATATAAACATATTTATTTAATAAAATTACAATTATAAAATTTTATAATAATTTAAATTAAATATTTTAAAATTTCTGATTAAATTTATTTGAAACTTTTATTAATAATAATGATATTTAAAATATATACTTTTTTTTTTTTTTTTTTTACACATTTTTACAATATAAATATTAAAATTTTACTTCTATAATTTTATTAAGTAAAACTTAAGTTTTACTTTATTATAATTTTTTTTTTTAAAAAAAAAATTAAAATATAGATTTAATCAAACAAACTTTGTTATTAATGATATAAATGTTGAATTATTTACAATACAACATGTAATAAAAAAAATACTTTATACTATTTAAATAATTAATACAATATAGTATAAGTATTAAATAAATCTAATGTTTATAATTGAAAAACATACTTAACAATTTTAAATAAATATTATCTGCTAATACAAGTAATAAATATTTTAATTATAAATATTTTATTCTTGCAAGCTTGCAATAAGTTCTTTAAGTTGTTCTTCAAGAGTTTCCCTTTTATTTCTCTCCTCAGCTAATTGAACTTCGAAATGAGATTTAACCTTATTGATTTCTTCATTAAACCATTTCTTTAATCGGAATTCAACATCGGATGAACTAGGAATTCCACCAAATTGATTGAATCGCGATGAAATTCCTTTAACACCTCCACTAATTGGTTTTGTATCAATGTTCGAATCAGTTGAAGTTGTCGTTGCTTTCATGGATTCTGTAGGAGTTTCAATTGGTTGTTTCTTAGCAACAGGGCGAAGTTGTATATTACCTAAGGTTGGTGGTAATTTGAATCCGCTTGGTTTAGCTGGTTTTTCTGGTTTTACTGGTTTAGGTGGCGTTGGAGGCGAAACAGCTTGTTGAGGTTTTTGTTCCTCCTCATCTTTGGCCTAAATAGCAAAAATTTTTTAAAAGAAATAAATTATTTATTACTAAATTTACTTAAAAAAATTTTAAAAAAAATGATATTAACCGATGCAACGGCCTCTAATAAAATCGCATTTTGACTCTGACTAGCATTTTCTTTAGCACTATTGACACTAGGAGCTTTCCTATTTCTGATAGTAGGTCTGTCTTTTCCTAAATTGGATAACTTAGGTCCAGACGGCAAAGGTGGAAGTGGATGTTGTGGTGGTGGTTTTTTTTCTTCGGTTTCTATTTCATGATCAATACCATCATCGTCCTTTTTAGTTTCAATGGTTTCGACGATTTCTGTAATGCTATCTTCGTCATCTTTAACAACTTCTTCCTCTGAAATTACTATTTTTTTATTATCAATTTTTTCTTCTACAACATTGTCTTCAGGGATTTCAACATCTTCATCGATTTGTTGTTCGTCTTCAACAATATTATTTTCTGGTTCATCGGATAAAGCTGTAGTAGAATCATAAGAAACTCTTCGATCAACTTTAGGTGAAATGGGTTCTGTCGGAGAAGTCTCCTTCTTGGCTTTATCTGATTTAGAGGCAGAAGATGACGACCTTTTAATTGGAGGAATGACAGGAGGCTTGGCTGGTGAAAAAGGCTTGGTAATAGATGGTTGTTTGGTTAAAGGTGGTGTTGACTTTGGTGAATCTGACTGTCGAGTAGGAGTTGAATGTTCTTCTGGAGAAGTGGGAGGAATATCTATGTTCGCAACCGAATTACTGTTTGTATAAATAGATTGAATGGGTGGCAAATCTGGTGAAACTACAGATGGAGGCCGTTTACTTGTCGTATGTTCATTTCCATCATAATTTGAATTTCTTCGTGGTGAAGTTGGTGAAGATGGATCATTAATAGATCGTCTTCGAGGTGCATCAGCCTGAGACGTATCATATGTAGAGCGTCTAGAATTAGAGGGTGAAGACGTTTCAGTGGTTGAACGCCTTTGTAGAGTTGGAGAGGCAGGTAATGTTGGAGAATCTTTGCCATAAATATCGCATGTCTCCTGAACATTTGGAAGAATTGAAGAATCAGCAGAAACAAGAGTAGGTTCATCAAGTGCAGAAGCCTCCACTTGTGTAGAAGCTTCCTCCTGAGGGGCTGTAGCTTGGGTTTCAAAAGATTCATGATGTTTCGCTACTTCAACATTTGATTCAATAACTTCTTCTGAAACTTTCTGGCTCTTATTTTGAACTTCTGCTGGATTAATTTCTTTTACGTAAGTAGAAGGAAATATTCCAATTTGTCCTTGTTCATTTCTTCCCTTCCACCATCCATCTTCATCAATTTTTTCCAAAATTGTCACATGTTCACTTTTAATTAGTGAAATCTCATCTAGTGATAAAAAAAATTGTAAGTTTTGTAAGTAAATTACAAAATAATCAATATAATACATTATAATATATAACCATCCCATTACCGTCTCCATCGGCATCGTAATCATACATGACTTCAGCCTTTGGTTCGACTATATATTAAAATAAAAATGTTATCAAGCTCAACTCAAATGGGGGGATGAAAACAAAAATACCTTTCTTGGGTTTCGATGGCATTCTCTTAGGTGGTAAATGAGGTAATGGAGGATGCTATATTGAAGGAATATTCAAATTAGCAAATTGTTAAATATAAGTACCGATGACGTCATCAGATTGACGCGCTAATACACAAAAAAATTTTGAATAATTTGCCGGTAAATAAATTACAAAAGAAAGAATCTCAATTATAGTAAATGAAAGCATTACACGAAGAATTATGTAAATTTTCTATGAATTAAGTGCACTTACAGATGGTACAGAAGCTTTCCTTAAAACTGGAGCAGCAAATGCATGTTTTTCTTCAGATCCTGAAGAATTCTCTGGGCTTGGTTGATTACGTTTTTTTAGTCCAATTGTGATACCTCCAGAAAATAAACTACCAAGTCCACCTGGCTTGACTCCATACTTATTTAATGTCTTTTTCTTTTTACCTGGATTTACAACGATTAGATTCTAAATTTTTCAAAAAAATTTAATAAATTGAAATTATATTACCATCTTGATTTTCAGTATCATCGCCATCTTCAGCTGATTTACTTGGTTCTTCAATTAATTTGACATACTATCAATAAATTAAAGATTTGAAAAAAATTATATAGTAATTAATAATTGATACGCGTTTTGATCAGCATTTAAGTTTTTTTTTTTTTTTTTGAAAGACTCACATTCGAAGGAAAAATGCCAATCTTGCCGTTCAAGTCACCTTTCCACCATCCATCATCACCTTGTTCTAGAACGGTTACAACAGCGCCTCTATCAAGTGATAATTTATCCGATTCTAGAGCTTCATAATCATATTCTACTCTAGCAAGCTTGGGCTCTTTAATAAAAAGAACTAGTAATTAGATACATAAATATTTTCTTATCATTTAAATCGAATAAAAAGCTTTAATGATAGTACCATTGTGTTTAACTTCAGGTTTTTCTTCCTCAGTTTCTTCTATGGTCATAGGGTCCTCTACGTTCTCTTCTGCCTAAATTACGCAAAGCTTATTATATTATATATAATTATCAAAAAGTAAAAGGGTGACGTAAAATGTTAAAACAAAAAAAAAATATTTTTTTAGCTTTAAATACCTTAATTTCTTCAGAGGCCATTTTGAAAATTTTAGCTTACTCTTAACTATAACCAACGAATAAAAAAAGCGGGTATAACTTATATGCCTTATTTAAAGAGAATTTTAAAGCTATGGTGATGAAAAATTAATGAAACGCAACAACACGAAGACACTGCACGAATCCTGGTTTTATATAATATCTATCGTCTGACAATAATGAAACTTGGTCACACGTGTCATGTGGTAGTACTATGCATGTAATTGGTGTAAAACAAGTGACCCAAAAATTTTTTGATTTAAAGATCAAATTATTATTATTATTATTGTAATATTTTCCTTACTACAAAAGCATTGTAAATGGAATTCAATATGTTTCTAATTGACAATTATAACATATCTTTAAAAACTTAAAACTTCAATAAAACGCAAAAGATATTTCACAAATAATCCACTTGGATAAATTCATTATTGCTAAGATTTACTATATATATTGTGATTTTAATACATCATATTGAATATATCACATATTTAAAACAGATGTAATTGAAAAATTGAAGGCTTTTTATTTATTCTTTCTTAACTTAGCAATTTCTGATTGTACAATAAAACGTCGCTATTTTTGATAAATCTTTGATTAATTTTAAAATGCATCTATAAATGAAAAACAACATAAAAATTTAACACATACCTGTTTCTTCAATTTTAATAATTTAAATCTGTCAAAATCAGTCAATGCAGCTCTCCTCGTACGATTATCTAATTTTCTGGCCCACGTTGATTTATTCCATTTGATCAAAATATCTTCCTTATCAAAATATTTCTTGATTATTTTTGAGCCGGCTCCCCTAGGGAATCCTCTGACTACTAGATCAGTAAGTGTCATACCACGAAAAGCATGAGCGTGTCGGGCTACACCAGTGGATGGACCATCGATAAGTGCCTATAAAATTTCGATAATTGAAGAAATTATTATTTATCAAAACGAGATTGTAAAATACAGTCAATTGCATTAATTGCATAAGCTATTTTCATCATTAAATTGACTTACCCTGTTGTGGTCAATTATTTCAACGATGACAGCGAGCTTTCCAGCGTCTTCGCCAGAGTCAATAAAGACCACTCGACCAACTTCGACTAAACGTTTGAAGGCACGGTTTTCCTATCATAATATAACAAAATTAATTTATAAATAAATATTATTATTTTATAAAAGTGAGCCAATATAATTGTTCGTAGTCAGTAAAACCAAGAACTAATAAAATACTAACTTACCGTCGTCATTCTTTTTTGATAATTCTTTTTAAGACGAAGTGGATTCGAAAGAGGAAGAACAAATCCCCTTTGATGAAAAAATTATTTTAATACCAAAGAAACGATTCTAATTGGTTGAAATATGCATTCCCGTGATACACGATCATGTGATAAATTGTCGATAATTAAATGATTTTGCCGAAATTCATAACGCGTAAAAGAGAACTCTTGAATACTTATTAGTTAATGGTTCACAAGAAGCCAAGAAATATGCTAAAATTTACTTAACATTGTTTAAGGCGAGTGTTCTTCCTTCGAAAAAAAATTTTTCTTTTGTTTTCCTACCCAGGGCTAAGGTTGACAACTTCGTGCTATCTTATGATCTTCGTGTTTGTTGTGGGTGGAGGGCTATTCAAGATTTTCTAATCACGACTAGGGGGACAACTTCGTGCTGTCCCTTGATGATCTTCGTGTTCGTTGTGGTTTCATGAGATTAGTATTAGACATTCTTTCCTGTGAAGTGGAGCAAGCTTCGTGTTGCCCTTCAATGATCTTCGTGTTCGTTGTTCTGCCTTGCAATGAGCCTTTCCTATCAACAGATATGACTATATTCTTTTGCCTATGTAACAACGCTAACGTCATTTCTATGATAAATAACGAAGACGTGTTAACTTTGAGGACGTTGATGCATTTTGGAGAACGATTGAGTCCATCAAAAAAGGTGAACTGGATTTGAGGAGGTAAGTTGCCAGCAATATATTTTATGATACTTAAGATTATTTTTTGAGTTGATATTTCCCATACATATATAGATCGTGGCAACACAAAGTGCTTTTCATGGGGCCACTATAAACAATTTAAACACAAATCAAATATTTCAAAATCAAACATTTCAAGGTCCCACAGAGAATGTTATTACTAATAATAAATCAGTATGTGAAATGAGGTTTATCATTTGCGCCTCTTGTTCCTGTATCTATTCCTCCTAAATATACCGATAAAATTCTCTTCATTACATCACTTAAATTTCAAAAATGAAAGGAAGCGTTCGATTACACCTCCTAATATTCGCACTGAAGAGGATAACCCTGTGGTAAAAAAGGTAAGGTCTTCGTTTTTTGTTTGAAAACAGTCCGACTTACAACATTTGCCCTTACATTTTGATGCAGCTTAAAAAATACACCTTTGGAAATTGGTGCGTTCTAACCGATGGTACTAACATTGTAAAACCAACTCCATGAACTTTACACCGTCAAAGGAAAGTGATGATGGTAATCCATCATTAACGAAAGATGAAAATGACAACGTCGACGAAGTTGACGACAATGATGAATATACTCCTGATCCGGATGATGTTTTCAATTCCTACTCGAAAAACTCGCAGAATTGGAGTCTGCTTCCAGGAAAAACTGTTGAAGATATCTTCGCGACAAATATGTCTGAATATTCGGAAAGATATAACAAGAGAAAAAACTGACACCCGTTGAAAAGACTCGACTTACGATATGGTGCCTCGAGACTTATCGATCTATCGGCTCATATGATAGCTTGGTTTACAAATAGCGATAGACATTTCATGACATAAACTATAGACTTGCTCAAAGTTTCAGAGCTTCCTGAAGATATCAATACGTTTATTTCGGCGATTGAAAAGGTAATACATTTACAGCGATTTTTTTTTTTTTGGTCATTGTTCACCCTTTAATTCGCACATTCAAGTACACCAAGGTGAGACAGTTGCTGTTTATAAGTTATGCATTAAGCATGCTTATTCGCCATTGAATAGAAGATCAGCAAAATATATAGTGAATTGTGAGTATCTTTTTTAACCTATTATGATTTGTCTACGAATTATGATATAATTAGCTGTATTTGTGGACGATGCATTTGTAAACATCTGGATGGGTCTGGAATCTCAAAAGGATGAGTGCGAGAAAATTGAAAAGTTCGTGATTGACTCATTTTGTCAGCCCATAATTTGTATGAAATATTTATAAAACCATGGATGGGAATGCTATCTTTTATTGTGGCGCCATAAGCTTTTTCTTTCATCATCAACGGACTGAATAAGGGACGCGGAATAAGACAAAAATGGTAAATAAAGCATAATTTTCAGCTTTTGTGACCAAATCTCTCTTAAACATTTACACATTTATGTCTATTAGGGGCGAATCGTTTTGCCCTCAAAGCAAATCGGTTATTTAACATAATAGTCGAAAATGCGACGAGTGTTTCTTAGCATCATCAAGGATGGATTTGGGGAGTGGGTTCGTTGTACGTGCAACCGATGCATAAACAGTTTCCAATCGATGTCTGGCAAGATTAACCAATCGATTCTAAATGGCTTGTTCAGGAATAATGAACAAGTAAAATTAATAAATGTACCTTTATGCGGTTAGTGGACAAATGTTAATAGAGGACTTAGTTAATGGATTTTATGTAATCTTTCCTGTACAAAAATTCCAACTTCCAACAAAACTTTTCCAGATTAAAAAGTTAAAAGCCAACCATAAAAGTTACAAAATTTATCCCGGTATGACCATTATTTTTCTCTTGTCATGCATCTAATTATGTTAATTATTTTGAATAAAATATGTACAGCAAAACAAATGATTTGATAAATAGCTTGGAGAGGCATCGTGTATTTGATGGCATCTTCAATATTGATGAGCCTGACACAATATCACATTACAAATCTAGAAATTGCGATCCAAAAAAAACAAGCAAAAATAAGGAGTCTGATAGGTATGTTTAGTTTTTTACCGTTTGCAAAACGTTACAAATTAATAATACCATCCTTCGGTACTGCGTCATTCACGTGAAGTTTAGCATTTTTTTATACAAACTAAATGTTCGCCTACATCGGGCTTTTGTGTTTTAACTATGGTGTGGTGGGTGTATGGTATATGCATCAGCATGATCTTTTTTTCAGAAAAATTAACCATGTCAAATCGTAATCCCAAAATTTATTAAATCCAAGAAAATCACATGATTCTGATCGTTCCTTGAAGGAACTATTTTTGCTAAAAAAAAAAATATCTATAATAATATGTTTGATTTATCACCCTAAAGATTTTAATTGAAGAGGTATATAACTGATTTTTTGGCTTAGATAATTGTTTGTTATTCTAAACAAACAAGAAAAAAAAGTGATAATCTGATTAATAAAATTAGAAGGATAAGATAAATTAAATCATACAAATTAGTTGATATATCAAAAATCTAATAATCAGTATTATAATAAAAAATAGTTTTATAATAAAAAAGATCTATTTTTTTATTTAGTATCTTTAAATTAGAATAAAAATTGCTAAATAAACTTAAGATTTTGCAAGTTAATTAAATAGTAAAAAATAAAATTTAATAATATATTATTAAAATTTTATTAAAAAAATTATATAGAAATTGTTAAATTATTATTAAAATAAGAAAATTATATTAGTTTCTTATGTTAAATTGCTTTTTTTAAATGAAATTAATCTATTTTTAATAATAAATTATATATATTTTATTTATATAATATATAGATCAAAATTTATATATATATATACAGTTAACTCTTATTATAATGAACTCTATATCCTAAATCTCAACTTTGCTAAAAGATTATAATGAAGATTTTAAGAGATTTGATTGGCCAATTCGCTATAATAAGAGTATTTTTATTATATTTATTCAAAAAATTCATTATATTAAGAGTTCGCTATATTAAGAGTTGACTGTATATTAAATATATAGATTTATATACTTAAAAATTTTAATATTTTTAATCAAATCAATTTAGAATAATAATTATTATTTAAATATATTTAGCATTTATTTTTTTTTTAATTAAATATATAATTATTAATAAATTAAATTATATAATTAGATTTATCTAAAATATTAATTAATTTTTATTTTTATTTTTATTATATTTTTAAATATTAAAAATAAATATTATTATAAATATAAAAAATATTATATGAGTATTATTAAATGATGATATGTAGTAATTATTAATAAATATTATGTTAAAATATCAGATAAATATTAATAAAATTAAAAGATTTGCATAATTTATCTAATCAATTAGATTTATTTAATTCTTCAAATATTACAATACTAATGATAATAATTAATTTATTTTTAAATATCTTTGATATCTTCATTATCTTTATTAATTTTCTTATATTTTAAATTTGTATTTTATCTTATTTTATTGTTATAATATATCTGAAATAACAAATGTAATTAGTTTATAGAATAATAAAATAATTAATTATAATAAATTAATTTTGTATAAATAAATTAACATTTTATTTGAATTATAAATTAACCTTTTTGTAAGTATTACATAAAAAATATTAATAATAGTAATCCAAAAGATGATGATAATTCAAAAGAAATCATATATGCCATAAATATTATCTAATATATCTATTTTATTTATTTATTTTATATATATTATTTTATATATTATATTTAATTTATTTAATATTTTTATTTCTTTTATTATATTAATAACTTTATATATTTTATTTTATTTAAATAGAGAAAGTTTTATTTTAACTTAATAATGTATTTTATATTTAAATAAGAATTTTTTTAGACAGTATAATCAACTTTCATTATAGTCACACATTTGAGATATCTTATATCTATAACTATGATAAGATGTGACTATAAATAAAAAAAATTTTATAATAATAAAATATAAATAAAAAATTATAAGAAATATATAATGTGAACGGATAAATATGACGCAGCTTATGTGGCGTAAAAGAATGATCAATTTATAGATGACTTATCTAACATGTATAACATAATAGATATGATCGACATAAATGACATATTGGACATATTGGATATAACAGATATATATTATATAATTGACATGTTAGACATGTCAGACATATATAACATAACTGACATATTAGACATGTCAGATATATGTGACATATGTAACATAGTTAACATATTTGACATAGTTGACATAGTTGACATAGTTGATATATTAGACATGTTAGTTATATTTTTCTATATAATATATTTTATATAAATAGGTAACTTGTTAATTCATGTAAAAGAGGAAGAAGATAGCCTGAGTAGTTTTAGCAGTGAGTGAGATATTGTTAGCCGACATAGGTAATCAATCCTGAAGGCCTATCACATTATGTTACAGTTTAGAGGTAACCAGGCCTATCACATTACGTTACAGTTTAGAAGCAACCAGGCCTATCACATTACGTTACAGTTTAGAGGCAATTAGGCCTATCACATTACGTTACAGTTTAGAGGCAACCAGGTCTATCACATTATATTACAGTTTAGAGGCAACCAGGCCTATCACGTTACGCTACAGCTTAGAGGCAACTAGGCCTATCGCACTACATTTTAGTTTTAGTATTACTCTTTATTTTCTTTTACTTTTCTTTTCCTTATCTTTATCATTATTTTACTTGTGAATAAACACATTATTTATAAATACAATTTACTGACGATTTATTGAATCGTAACTTGTTGTGATAATATAAATACTTTGATAAATCATCTGAGTTAAAACTTATAAACTGTTGAAAGATTACTGCTCAATTAAAAAGAATAAACCGCTCGAACACCCCGTCTAACAGTCGTAGTTTGCAAGAATTATACGTTAACAATAATATATCAATTTTATTAATAAATAGACATATTATTTATTATATAATTATATTAAGTATATTACTAAAATCAAAATTATATATATAATAATAAAATGTTTTAATTAGAAAAAAATAATCTTTAATTGACTTTTATTGTAAAGATGTAATATAATGTGTCTTCAAATCTGAAATATAACATTTAAAAATTTTAAAATCATCTATTTTAAACCTATCATCTATAAGTAGTTGTTCATAAAAGAGAATTACTTTTTAATTGCATCAAGTATTCCCTTAAATAAACCTTTTAAAATTAATTCCTTTTTATTATCAGTATTAAGCGTTTCTTTATCATGATTTTGTACCATGTCTATGATTTGTTCTAGAATTTCAAATGAGTTAAATCAAATTGAATTTAAAAATCAACTCTATTCAACTCATTTTTTTTGGGTTAAGTCAAATCAAATTTTTTTTATAAAATCTTTCAACTTGACTTAATTCGAGTTATATAAATTTTAAATTTGACTCAATTTGATTTAATTCAATTTTGATTTGATTTGATTTTAACTTGAATTTATTTAAGTCAAGTCAATTTCAAATCAAGTTTTAAGTTATATTTAAATTAACATGTGAATTTTAAAAAAACATTTAATAATTAAAATCAAAAAATAAAATATTAAAATAAAAAAAAATTTAAATTAAAAAATTAAATGAAAAAATGAAAAAAAAGGAGAGAAGAGGAATATAATAAAAAAATAAAAGAAAAAAGAAAAAAACTGGTGGGGAAGAAAGGAATTAAAAATAAAAGTAAAAAAAAATTAAATAAAAAAACGGGAAATAATAAAAAAAAATAAAAATGTAAAAATGTAAAAAAAACGAAGAGGTAGGTGAATTAAAAACAAAAAATAAAAAAAAAATAAAAAAAATGGGAGAAATAAAAGGGAAAGGAATTAAAATAAAAATAAAAAATAAAAAAAAATAAAAAAAAAATGAAGAAAAAAAAAGAAAAAAAATGGGAGGAAGAGGGTGGAAGGAGAATGAATTAAAATAAAAACAAAAAATAAAAAAATAGAATAAAAGAAAAAAAAGAAGATTAACTGGAAGAATAATAGAAAAAATAAAAAAAAAAATAAAAAAAAATGAGGAAAGAAATAAAAATTTAAAAAGTTAAAAAAAAATGAAAATAAAGAAAAGAAAAACAAATCAAAAAAAAAATCAATTAAAAGGAAAAAAAAGAAGAAAAAAAGAAAAAAAGAAAAATAAATTGATCAATTTAAAAAGTAAGACTAACTCAAATTAAGTTAAGTTCAATTCAAGTTAAATCAAGTTAAGTTAAATATATAACTTGACTTGAATTTGATGACTCATAAATCATTAAGTCAAAAAATATAAACTTTATTTGATTTAAACTCAACTCAGCTTATCTGATTGAGAGTCAACTTGACTCGTCTGAAACTCTAATTTGTTTATCAGTCAAAGTTTCTTCAGTAGGTGAAGAAGTTTGATTATAAATATAATTTATTAAATTATTTCAAATTTTATTATTAATGAAAATTGTTAGAATTATATCTAAAATTTCATTAATAAGTACACCCAATCCCCATTGTGTTAATTTAAAATTAAAATTAAATACAATTCTAATTTTATCTTAGCAATTACGTATGGTTTGTTATTTTACACTTTCTCAAGTTTTTATAATATAATCAATAGCTTTTTAATATCTAATTTATTTCTATATTAAGTAAATATTAATAATTTTATACAAAAATAACAAATATGAAAAAAAATAAAAAATACTTATTTGTGTATATCAGCATTTTGATCAAATTCTTTAATTAAATATCAAATATATAATTGCTTATATTTGATTTATATTTAATAATTATAAATAAATTCATTTAATAAAACTTTAATTATTATTTAGATTCATAACAATTTTTATTTTTATTTTCAATAAACAAATATACTATACCTTAAAATTTTGAATAATTCTGGTATCCATCAGTTGAAGTTTTGACATCATATTTAATAAAAGAAATTCAATTCAGATATTGGTAAATTTAATGCAATTTTTTTTTGCTTCATTACTTTCCCTGTTTAATAAACTATAACCTTTTTATTTACAATTATTTATTTTATCATCTTCTGAAGATTCTCTAGATTCATCATTAATAAAATTATTATTAAAATTACCTTCATCATCATCATCATCATAATCTTTATCACTTTCATTTTTATCAGAGAAAGTAATGAATTTATGTGATTAAGTATTATCAATAATTAAAATAATATATCAGCCTTGAAAATAAAAATTCAAAATCCAATTCACTAACCTATCTATTAAAAATATCATATTTCATCTATGCCTTTTTATTTGTTTTATACGTAATTAAATATCAGAAAATTTAAATGCTGTAAAAGCTCGTAGCTTTAAGGATCTGCCAATTACTAATGGTTTTAACTTTTAATTTTAGATGCATTTGACACAGTTATTCTAGTTTTATTCTATTAATAAAAAATAAAAGAAATTTTTAGTAACATACTACTATTAATACAAAAATAACAAGTAATAATACTTAGTTAATCAATATTAATAACATATACAAATAGGAATAAAAAAGAACATAAGAAATCTTACTTTTTTAGTTTCATTAATAGATTTATATGAGAGAGTTTCATTAGAAGTCATATGAAAAAATAAACCAATTTTATTAGTATTATAGATATCATTTAAATTATATTATTATAAAATTTGCTAAAGTTTTTCTCGTTCTTGAGATAATATTTCCAATAGAGTACTTGCTGATTCTCTATATAATTTATAACGTTAAAGGTTATTTCTTTTCTTAAATCATGTAATCCAACCATTTAAAAAAGTTAAAGTATTTTCAGATATATCCAAATTATTTGCAAAAAAATAGCTTTTTCTTTCAAAATCACATCTGAAATAAACATACAACTACTAAAAGCCTGACTAACCTAAAATTTTAATGTCTCATTAACTAGAGAAACTTTAACTTAACATGAACATTTAAAAGTAATATAAGTACTATTATCTTCAATTGCTAAAAAATATTTTTCTTTTTTAATATTTTAGATATTGTTATTCAATCTATATTTAAAGTCCATTACATATTAAAAAAAAAGTTATTTTGTTTTAAGTTTTATTAGAATTATTATTAGCATAATTACAAATTTCTTTACATTATAATTTAGTTAAAAAAGTGCATGTTCTTTTTGTGAAATTTAAAGGTGATATATTTCTAAAGTAATAATACAATTTTATTTTAAAGTATAATATTGACCTTTTATTTAAAATTAAGTTATATTATTTAAATTTTATCAAAAATCTAAAAAATCTAGATTATAATATAAAATTTGTTGATTAAATAAATTTAATATTATTCCTAATTCATAATCTAGATTTTCTAGATTATCAATAATTTTAACTATATAATAATTTATTTTTACTTACCTTAAATGATATTTTAATAATAGCATTATTTCTGATGTTAAATTAGAATAATAAAGTTTGAATAGTTTTTGCAATTTAAAAAAAATTGTTAATTATTCAGAAAATTTCTATATAGAATAACTGGTAGTAAAATTAAGGATAAATTAGAGGTGAATCAGGGTGATTATCTGAATATTATCATTAAAAATTCTATTTTCTTCTGAAATAAAAAATTTGAAATCACATAAATTTAGCAATTTTATCAAAATTATAATTATTAGATAATTTTGTAAATTGAATTACAGTCAACTCTTGTTATAATGAACTCTATGTCCTAGACCTCAACTTCGCTATAAGGCTATAGTGAAGATTTTAAGAGATTTGATTGGCCAATTCGCTATAACAAGAGTATTTTTATTATATTTGTTTAAAAAATTCGTTATATTAAGAGTTCGCTATATCAAGAGTTGACTGTA